ATATATATATATATATATATATATATATATATATATATATATATATATATTATTTTAATATATAATAATAGTTTAAAGTAATGTCATAGGGTAGAAAAAATCAATTTTTTTAAGCAACGGCATACCGAGATGCAAATGAAAATATCACTGCACACTTAGCAGCATTTTTAAATGCTATACATTTAAATTTTATGAAATAAAAACACAGATTTAAATAAAAATACACACATAAATATAAATTTACTTTATTTCGATGTTTCTATTCAACTATTTTTGCAGTTTATTTAGTGTGAAATTTATTTAGTGTGCCTGGTGTTTTTTCGCCATTTTTTCAATGTTTGATTGAATTTATGATTGAGCGGAGTCTTTCTCGTTTCTTATTTTTCATGTTATTTAGGGTTAAGGAGCCTAATTCCCATAAATAAGATGTAGAAAATTTCAATTAAACTGATAAAGCCATTTTTATAAATGTGGGATAAAAAGTTTAATACTTATTCATTTATTCAAATGCTAACGCTTTACAATTACTACTTCCACACATGAACATATGTATGCCGTGACGATGTCGCCCGTTATTCTAACTCGGCTCATAGAGATTTCGCGGCATACCAAAATAGGATCGCGCGGTTTCATAATAAAAACTGCGGCACGGCGGTTCAGAATCATTGGTCTAACCATTACAATAACAAGTAAATATGTTTTATAAACTTGAATCGATTTTTTAAATGGTTTCTATTATTATTTGAGGCTTCATCCGCCAAGAAAATCATTTTTTTAAATTCATTCTCCTGTAAGAAATATATGAACTAATTTTCGTGTGCGGGTTCTAATCGAGCCCTGCTGGTTTAAAAGCCTGTCCCCTTCACAAAATAAAAACTCTATGGACAGGCCTGGATGAGGGTATTAGGACAGAAATGAAAAGCATCTCTGATGACAGATGAAGTTTATCTGATCGCAAGATGATATATTTGAGACATTTGCTACGTCATTTTTACTTTTAATTCCAAATGGACGAATCAATGATTTTATAGACGACTTGTAAAACCCAAGCAGCTAGAGTTTCAATCAATTCTATCCTTTTTACGAGGCTCACAATACACCGAATGTATCAACTACTGAGGGGCAAAGCCCTAACATTAACACACACCAGTAGGAGTCATTATCCGGGTGGATACGCGCAAACTCTTTCCAACCTTACATCAGGCTGCTACTCTAACCAATCATGAAACAGAAACCCACCTCACAGATTTTCGGTGAAAAATGTCACTTCCTTTTCGCCCTGATTTTGACTTTAAGCTGATGCCTCAAGAAAACTTCTCGCCCTCACAAAGTTCATTCTGTCGCGTCGTCCAAATCACAGCTATAATGATGTCAAATTAGCACAAGAACTGACAATGTTCAGTCTTGTTCAGCTGTGGCAAAACATTGCTACAAAAAAAAAAAGCCTTTCACCAAGCATGCAAATCATATAGATTTCAATGAGAACATATAGCAATATATATATACAACATTCATTAGTTATGTGCCATGCGTGATACATATTTAGGCGATCATGTATAGAAGGATACATGACTGACGAGGCAGAATTTTTCGCCATTTTATTTTTTTTCTGGTAAAATACTTGCCATCCAATTTAAAATAGAACCCAGTCTGTCCTGCTATTTACGCATATTAGGGGGGGGAGAAGAAGAGGATTCATACCTTTTCATTTATTAGCACATAAATAAATGTAATGGATTCGACAGGAATTAAAACTCGGCTCTCCGATTCCTCAATTTTTCCGTTATCCATTCTTCCACCGTGACCACAGGACTGACCATTCATTTTCAGCACACGCATTCTGACGTTTTACCCTGGGTCTCTAATCTTGGTCCTACTTTAGTTTTATTTTTCATTAATAACCTTCTCGATGGCATCAGTTCTCATTCGATAGTAAATATTATCATTTTTGATATGGAAAAATTGGTATAAAATTTTTCTTTAGTAACAACATCCAGTCTGTTGTTAAAAAATGCAAAGGATGGCTTGTTAATTTTAACGCCTCCCAAACTAAAAAATCTCTATTAATCATCTAAGAGATTTTCTTACTGCCTCCTATCATCATGACTGATGCTAACCTCCAGGAGATTGACTATTGCGCCTTCTCGGTCGACATGTCTTGAAGTAGAAAAAAGAAAAAGATAAGCAGCTAAAAAGTTGGTTCACTGTGTTGTGCAAGACAATATTTCTGCCAGAATCTATCATACATACCTATAAGTCTACCATTCGTTCATGTCCTTAGAATATTGCTTAAACAAATATGATCCGGTGCTCCTGCTATATTTACTTTGAGCACATTGATAAGATCCAAAGAAGAATTTGCAAGATTATTGGTTCTGACCTGGCACCTCGGCTTCAGTAGCTTTTCCACAGCCGTAAAGTTGCCTCTCTGTGTCTTTTTATAAATACTTTCATGGTAATTGTTCGGATGAGCTCTCCGCTATGGTACCTAGAGTTTATGAATTTAAACGCAGTACTAGACTGGGAAGGAGGTCTTATCAATTTACAGTTGTGTAGTCTAGATGTAACTACAAATTCTATGCTAACAGTTTCTTTTCTTGCACTTCTTGCTTGTGGAACTTTCTCCCAGTTCCATATTTTTCAGTCAACTTTAATCTTTAAGACTTTTAATGCAATGTCAATCGCTATCAACTCTCCTCCTGATCACTCTTCCTTTGTTTCTGTTTCTTCATAATGTTTTTGTTTTTTAATTCTTCCGCACCCAGTAACCACTTGCGTCTTAGTGGCTTTACTGCCTTACTTGGGGTGAACTTGCTTCAACAAAAATCTCTCTGTATAGAGTATTTTGCCTACCCAGATGCCATTCAGCAAATCAGTCAGATGAATGATGCCTCACATTTACTGAGGCACCTCAAGCCGAATTTCTAAGGCCACAGAGAGTGATACTCCTGTTTCGTCAACCCAAGTTCGCCACCAGATCATCTCGAATAATCCACATTACTAACTCATGATATAATGCCTTCTGTGACAATAGTTGAGTGTCGGAGAGACCTTCCTTAACCTGTGAGAAAACCTTTAGAAGACCTCGCGATAGAAGGAACACTCCGCTAGGAGTAAACGGCGGGCCTCCCTTTTGTTTCTTAAAAACTCCTCAAAATCGGAAATGTTTTTAGCGTCTTCTCTCAGAAGTCGCCATTCGATCAAGGAAATTAAGCCTTAGCATACACCCTGTGCAAATTAATTTCCGTCCTTTCACCATACGGTCAGTTTTAGAAAAACTGCAGTGACAGGATGTAATCCACAGAGTCGAATTCCTCATATTTACTTCGTATTCCATTTGTAAATATGAAGTTCGATTCAGATAGTTTTTTTGCCCCCGAAAACTGCTACTTTGTGGAATAAACTCCTATGTGGATACTTCCCAGCTAGGTGGCACTATACAGGACTATAAAGGGAAGGATATAAATTCTCTCTTCCACTTTTAGTTCTAGAATGTGGTAAGTAGAGGACTTGTCCAGTCTTCCCTTAAGGCAGTGACTTCTAAACCATTATTGTGATATTTTGCATTTTATATCAAGTATTAAGAATATAGTAACTAGTGTCCGCAAATTGGAGAAGAGCATTATCAATCATAACGTTCTGACTTCGAATGCACAGTTATCTCCCTTTAGCCCTCTCTTTTTATTATGTTAAAATGTACTTTTTACCACATAAAATTTGATGAGGCGCGAGCAAATTTTCATTCCGAAAATGCAGCCAGAGAAAGACAAAACTACTGTCATATTGGGACATCAAGTCGCCCTGTCACGTAGTTCATCTCTCACATGTTCTAAGTATATTTTCTCTATTCTTGTATTAGTATTAATTATATATATATATATATATATGATAAAATATAGTTTTAAGGTATGGTATATTTATGGATAAAAGTGCTCAATATCAGATACAGAGCGTATATAAATATAAATATATATGTGGACACTGACGTAAAAACCAAGCGGTGACCGACTGTTCTACGTTTCAACGCAATCATCAGACCATATATACGCTTAACTAAAACAAAAACAAAATTATCTATTCCTACACATAAAACCATAAAAATGTACCATTTAATCACAAATGCATTTTCACCTTCGATGACAATTTTTATAGGCAGTAATTTGTTTTAGCGATGGGATCTCCTCTCATTTGCGTTTTAGCTTGTCTATTTTAGGAATTTCAGAAAAGTGATCCCTTTAAAAATATTTTACCACGAGATTCTTTTTACTTTAGAGTTTAGATACATAGACGATTCTCTACAAATATATCCCCAAGACATAATTTTACATATGTGTGTGTGTGTGTGTGTGTGTGTGTGTGTGTGTGTGTGTGATATTCCTGAACGTGTCAAAATATTTATTTCTTCCGAAAATTTCTTCATTGTTATCTCCCACAACAAGTTTCATACGATTTATTTATTTAGTAAAAAAAAAAAGTAACACCGAAAAGAATCTTTAACACGAGTTGCAGTTTCATTTTAATTCTAGCTGCCGAAATACTCCCTAAATTTGTTTCACTTTCAGTAACGTTGCTATTCGACTGGTCTTCGATGTTTAATGATTTTCAATTTAATTTGTTTTCGTTGGGCAACACTCGACACTAAATTTGGTTTAATTCTATTAAAACTGAATTTTATTTATACCGATTCCTTATTCTATTTATTACTCCCTATATCGATCGCTTACCTCGAATAATCCAGATATCCTTTCTATGTTTACCTTAAATATAGACTGCGACAGTATTGCTTACGAACGCAATTCCCATTCTATTTAATTATTTGGCAAAAATAAACATTGCAAAAAATCTTTAATTCGAGTTTTGAGTTTAATTAAATTTTTCTATTTCTGCGACTTGTTTCTCTTGTATACGGCGGGAAGCTGAAAAAGTAGGTATACTAAGTATTATAACAGCATCACCAATATCATAATAATATTTGTATAATCAGTTTTCTTATTCATTACTGTATATCTACTGATAGATAGATAGATAGATAGATAGATAGATAGATAGATAGATAGATAGATAGTGTTGTGGCCTTGTTAGGGCCAGAAATAAAAACACAAGAGAGGAATTGAGTTAAACAAATATATTAACAAAAACAGTAATACAAACATATACAAACGAGAGTGTTAAGGCAAGAATGTTCGGTCCGACTGTCAGAGCTGACTGCTGGAAACTTCCCTCTCTCCAAAAGCAGTACCTGCTCCTATTTATAGCTGGGAGAGTCCATGCGTACGTGGGTAAATTACCATAATTATAGATAGATAGATAGATAGATAGATATGAAAAGACGGAGACAGATTTGAACAGACTTAGATTTTACACTAAAAGCGCCCAGCGCTCATCAATAGATAAAAAATAATGACAGCGCAAGGTTGCATGCAGCAAGAACACAGGACACAAATTTGAAACACGGTTGGTCTGTTCTATTCCAATTCGCCATATTCACCTGACCCTGCACCAACTGATTAAGATCTTTTTTTCGATCCTGGCAACACGTTATGATGGGGAAAAGGGAATCTAATGAAAACTAATGTTGGTGGAAAACTTTTTCACATCAAACTCTACGGGATTTTACTCAGAAGTTATCGAAAAGCTGCCTGATAAGTGGCAACAAGTCATTGCAACCCCCCCCCCCAAAAAAAAAACTGTGAATATATAATTGAATAAAATGTGTGGCCAGTGCCAGAGTCGTGTGCATCCGACTGGATCTATATTAAGAATAAAACAACTACATCTAAAAAAATAAATACAGTCAATCTAAATACAAATTAGTGACATGTCATAATAGATCATGACGTCTTAAATAAATCAACAATGTTTTGCGGTAATTTTTAACATCAACTTGGGATTTTTCTTGTTAAAAAGTTGAATAATTTTAACACATTCAACATTATGGATAAAAATTAGCGAATTTTATATAAATGTTTTTTTTTTGTTTTGTTTTTAGATTTAGGATGAGTAAAATCAACTCACGTATTTGGGAAAAAAACAAAAAAAAACAAAATGACGTCAAAATCAGCGAAATTAAGGCCATTCGTTGTATTATCTTCCGTATTCATGATTCCCAAATGTTTCTTTAAGGAATCCTACTTCAAAAATAAATAACGTAACTTAGGAATCTTAAGGCAAACGGCTGGCTGAGCACAGAAGACTAATGTCGCGTTTAACCCGTTAAAAAAAAACAAGCTCTCGCATTTGAACGAAAAAAAAGAGCCCAGATTGACGTCAAAATCCACAAAAATGTTTCAACCTTTAATAGTCAGTTGTGCTTAGTTTAATTTGTAAGGAAAAAAAAATATATGTAGGTAAAAAATAGCAAATGTTGATAAGACAAGTGAGGGTCACAAAGCACTGGGCCTCCCTCGGTTGTTGGTCACTGGTAGTACGTATCGACCCTGATAAAATGTAGTTATAATTTTTTTGTTTTAATAGAGTTGATAAAAAAAATCGAAATTATTTATGAGTCATCTAATAAATTCAAATTGTGCTTCGGTAAAGCCAGAATGATTGTTGGATTCGTTCAGGTGCTTAATGCTGATTTGAGAAGGATATTATTATGCCTGTATATGCATGTAAGTCCAAATAAATGGTATGGAAAAAAAAAGAAGCTTCCCTGGATACTGATTCAGAATATGCGTGATTTTTCGTGCTTTAAAGTCTAAAACATCTTGAAAAACTTCCGGGCACACACAAAGAGAAAACTCATCATCATTATTATCATTTACTGCGAATCTACAACACGGCAAAGACCTTTCGCAAATCCTTCCAAGATATTCCAAATAGGATCTTAATCTTAATCTCCCAATAGGATCTTAATTTTAACCTCCAAATAGAATCTTAATCTTAATCTCCCAATAGGATCTTAATCTTAACCTCCCAATAGGATCTTAAACTTAACACCCGATAGGATGTTAATTTTAACCTCCCAATAAGATATTAATCTTAATCTCCCAATAGGATCTTAATCTTAATCTCCCAATAGGATCTTAATTTTAACCTCCCAGTAGGTTCTTAATCTTGACCCCCAATATGATCTTAATCTTAATCTCCCAACAGGATCTTAAACTTAACCTCCGAATAGGATCTTAATCTTACAGTAAGATCTTAATCTTAACCCCCGATAGGATCTTAATTTTAACCGCCCAATAGGATCTTAATGTTACTCTCCCAATAGGATCTTAATCTTAACTCCCTAGTAGGATCTTAATCTTAATTTCCCAATAGGATCTTAATCTTAACCCCCGATAGGATCTTAATTTTAACCTCTCAATAGGATCTTAATAATTACCTGACAACAGGATCTTAATCTTGACCTGCCAATAGGAACTTAATCCTAACGTCCCTATACGATCTTAATCTTTACCTCCCAAACGGATCTTAAAATTAACCTCCCAATCGGATCTTAATCTTGATCTCCCATTAGGATCTTATTCTTAACCTCCTAATAGCATCTTAATCTTCACCTCCCAATAAGATCTTAATCTTAACCTGTTCAAGTCTAGGGATAACTGTTATCTTCACTTCCTATCTTTCCCTCCTATCTGCAGAAACTGTCTCTTACTGTAACCCTACCTCTAGTTGCCTCTGGGCCTTGTACAGGGAAAACGTTACTGTAAAAAAAAATGTATGTGTGTGTTAATGGGATATAGAATTTTAAAGAAATCAACTCGGAAAACACGAAGACATAACTGAAATGTATGAATATCTTACTTTCAACTGATTCAAATAAATTGGATGGGGGTTTACCTTAAATTCACATCCGAAAATCTGGGAAAACATAAAAAGATATTTTGACAAAACAAGAAAATTGAAAAGAAAAAAAACAACATAAATTTCTACAAAAGTCACACAATTTTCTTCTTTCATCCCCGACCAAGGGACATTAGTTTCGTGCATAAAGTGGATTTAATGTTCAACCACACACAGATATATTTCTTTTGTTCTATTCTGAGAGAGCCTCTCTGATGATATCGAAAAGCGTCATCAAATCAATAAACCACTTTAACACATACACACACATACATGGGTGTATGTGTGTGATAAAATAGTTATTCACATACAAGCCAGTTTCGCTCTATCACAGCTCATCAGTGCGGCTAGAGATCCGACTGCTTGAAAACGGGATAGAAACTCGACAGATTTGGGATCAGTCGAAGATAATATCCCTAAGCTCTCGGCGCACGGCAGAGGAAGGGAGATTTTTAACGTATTATATACGTGATGTATGCAAACGCCAGTCGCCAAGAGCGCTCTTTTCATAAATGAAGAGCGATGCGTTAATAGTAGGCGCAGTCACTGTTTTTAAAATTACCCTTTCTCTATAGTGCTCAATCGGCGAACGAGAAAGAATGCTTTATTTATGGATAAAACCACTCGATATCAGGAATAGAGTGTGTGTAAATATTAAAGTGAACACTGCGATCAACACCGAGTGGCGACGGTCTATTTCATGACTTGAAAATTACGTTTAATTATGAGACAGATTGTCGCCAATCGGTGTTGATCCTTAGCGTTCACTCTTATATTTACACACGCTTTCTCCCTGATATCGAGCAGTTTTACCCATAGATATAACATATCTAAAAACTATATATTTTATCATATGAAAACAAATTTTTACAAATTTTTACTATGTTACTTAAAAATCGAAAATTGAAATGAATAAATACAAATAAACAAAATAATAAAAAAATCAATTAAAATAAATTAAGCCAAACAAATAATAAACAAATTAACTAACCAATCCTGTTAGAATAGACAAAATAGAATAAATAAGAATAGAAAAATAAAACACATAAAAAAAGTAAGAATAAACCCAAATAAATTAAGCCAAACAAATAATAAACAAATTTGTTAACCAAAAACTGTTAGAATAGACAAAAAATAGAATAAGAAAATAAAGAATAAAAAAAAAAAACACAAAAAAAAAAAAAATAAAGTAAAGAATCCATTAATAATCAACCCAAATAAATAAAGAATAAATAAGAATAGAAAAATAAATAATAATAAACAAAAAACAAAAAATAAATAAATGTTAGAATACAACAAAATAAGAATAAATAAGAATAGAAAAAAAAATAGAAAAATAAAAAATAAAAAAACAAGAAAGAATAATCAACCCAAATAAATAAAGTAAATAATAATAAACAAATTAACTAACCCAAATCCTGTTAGAATAGACAAAATAGAATAAATAAGAATCGCTTTTGTCAAAAAACACAAAAAAAACAATTAAGAATAATCAACCCAAATAAATTAAGCCAAACAAATAATAAACAAATTAACTAACCAATCCTGTTAGAATAGACAAAATAGAATAAATAAAATAGAAAAATAAAAACACAAAAAAAACAATTAAGAATAATCAACCCAAATAAATTAAAAAAGTAAAAATAATAAACAAATTAACTAAAAAATCCAATAGAATAGAAAAAAAATATAATAAATAATAATATAAAAAAAAAACACATAAAAAACGTTTAAAAATAATCAACCCAAATCAGAAATTACAAACAAAGAAAATAATAAATAAAAATAACTGTTAATAAGTTAAAAAAACAAAATAGAAATAAAAATAAGAAAAAAAAAATAAAAACATAAAAAACAAGAAAAAGAAAAAAATTGCAATAGAAAAATAAAAATAAAATAATAATAAACAAATTAAATAACAAATTCCTTTTTAAATAGACAAAATAGAATAAAATAAGAATAGGTAAAAAATAAAACAATATAAAAAAAAACATTTAAGAATAATCAAGGTTTAAATAAATTAAGCCAAACAAATAATAAACAAATTAACTAAGGATATCCTGTTAGAATAGACAAAAAAAGAATAAATAAGAATAGAAAAATAAAACACATAAAAAACAAGTAAGAATAATCAACCCAAATAAATAAAATAAATAATTTTAAACAAATTAACTTGTCAATCCAAAATAGAATAGAACAAAAATAAAAGAATAAATAAGAATGAAAAATAAAAAATTATAAAAAAAAAAAATTCATTTAAGAATAAAAAACCATAAAAAAAATTAAGCCAAACAAATAAATTAAATAAACAAATTAATTAACTAACCAATCCTGTTAGAATAGACAAAATAGAATAAATAAGAATAAAAAAAAAACACATAAAAAACAATTAAGAATAATCAACCCAAATAAATAAAGTAAATAATAATAAACAAATTAACTAACCAATCCTGTTAGAATAGACAAAATAGAATAAATAAGAATAGAAAAATAAAACACATAAAAAACAAGTAAGAATAATCAACCCAAATAAATAAAGTAAATAATAATAAACAAATTAACAAAACAATCCCGCCAAAATAACCGTCAGAATAGACAACAACAAATCCAATAATTGGACGTAAAAATAGCTATAACTACTATATAACGATAAAAAAAACATTAATACTTTACTCAAAAATAGAAAGCCAAATAGAGTAAATAAAAATATAGAAAATAAGTAAATAAAAACAAATAAAAATTAACCCAAATAAATAAATGAACAAATTAACAAATCACCCCGCTAAAATAACCGTTAGAACTAATAAAAATAAGCATAAATAAGCAAAGACAAGTAAAAATAATAAATCCAAATTAATTAATTAAAAACTGCCCCCCCCCGGCCAAAATAACAGAATAGACTACGGTAAGCAATCTAAACATTGAACGAATAAATAGCCTTAATTATCTTCCCAGACCAAAACAAGCTATTAAATAAGCGACCTAAGCAACTCTCCGCCCTCCCAAATTTTTTACTACGTTAATAAAACATCAAAAAAAAGATGAAAATAAAAAACAAATAAATTAAGCCAAACAAATAAATAAACAAACAAACAAGCCACTCCCGCAAAATAACCTCCAGAATAGATTACCAACAATGCACCACTGAACCATATATATAAATAGTCGAGGAAAAATCCAACATTCGCAGTCTGACGATTGCGTCTAGCATGAAACAGCCTGTCGCCTCTGAGTGTTGACTTCAATGTTCACTTTTATATTTATATTTTAAACACACACACACACATTTTTATATATATATATATATATATATATATATATATATATATATATATATATATTCGAAAAAAACGCCGCCGATAGGTACATTTATATCCCTAGATTTTGCGGAGGGCTCTTCATTGTGCTTCGTCGCAATAATTAGGGAGGAGTAGATGAGATAGGCAGCAATAAACTACAGAAGAACTCACAACTGCTCACTACATTTAAATATTACATTAATATTTAAGCTTACCTTTTGAGAATTCAATGATAATTCTTCTGCCGCCACTTAATATAAAGTCAAATTGATGTACGTAGGTCCTAACTTTCCGTACAAACAATTATATTTATTTCATGAGTGACTTTCGTTGAATTTCGCAATTAATCTCAATTATTCCCAAATTTCTTTCCAAGTTATAAAAATTGTTATCCTATCAAAAATTCCGTCGCAAAAAAATCATGTCAAAAAACACAGAAAATAATCGCAAGTAAAGAAAACTTGGGCATCGAAAATTTTAGTATTGCGGGTCTGGATCCGACCAGCAATGTTTTTAATTTACTCACGGAACCGGAATATATAGAATGATTGAAAAGTAACTCCCTATTTTATGTATGATGGACTCATCCGTCTTGTAAAAATTATAATTAGACAGGAGAGTCCATCATACTAAAATAGTGAGTTACTTTTCCATCCATATATCTGATTTAGATATATCTGTATTACTGTCTTCTACCTCCTCTCTCCTTTCCATTTTTTCTTTTCTTTTACTTCCCCACTACCCTCCCATTCCTATATATCATTTCCGTTAAGTTAACCATCTAAATAGGTCACGATTAGGTCACTCCTCCTACCCCAATATAAAGCATGCTTAAGAGAAATATGAAATTAACCCTCCCTATACTCTACATTGTCTCGTTAACTACAACTATCACCTCCCTGTTAAATTACAAAAAATTACACTACCCATCAATTTCTAATCCCATTTTTCCTTTCATTTCGTTGTTGGAAGTGTTACCTGATGATCCGGAGTCCTTGAAAAGGATTTTGGTGAAATAAATTATTGTAATGGTACCTTAAAGTGGTCTGTTTTTTCATTTATATATATATATATATATATATATATATATATATATATATATATATATGAAGAAATATAGTCTTAAGATGTGCTATATTTATGGGATAAAGTGCTCAATGTCAGAGATAGAGCGTGTGTAAATATAAAAGGTGAACATAGGTCAACATTTAGAGGCGACAGTTTGTTTCATACTAGACGCAATCGTCAGGCATGATATATATATATATATATATATATATATATATATATATATATATATATGCGTGTATTTTTGCAGCATGTTTTGAGACATATTTCGATGAATAATTTAGACATCTTCTGAAAATAATGAACACTACAATATTTGTTTGCATTAAACAACA